CTTTACCTAATTTGCATATTGCTGACATATGCAAATTAGGCAAATGCATTAATTAAGCATGCAAATAGCTGATTTTTCGGGAAAATTGTAACTTTGCGTGAATAGTTAAGGGGCTTAAACTAAACTAAATTGTCTTAAATTTTGTACAGTAATTAAAATCCCGACACATTTTCCACCTGTTAACTCAAAATATGATTGCAGCTTTTAAATTTTGTGCGCGAGCCATTTTTAGTTTGTTGGAAAAGACACCCTTCCCCCTGGTTTACAAAATTTGAGTTCGAGAAATTTTTCTCATTAGTCTACATTATAAGTACCCAAAGAGGCCATATATATAAAAAACCGGATACAAATAGCTGTTTTGCGAAATTGAAAGCAATTTTAAATCTGTTCAGTTTTTTTTTTATACACCCTGTATATATATATATATATATATATATATATAACCGAAATTGCAAATACTAGTCAGCTCTGAGTACGGCTTGAATAAGAAAAAGATCAAAATTGTTCATGTAAAACGTTAGATGCACTACGAAACATGTATTGCCCTGTCTACAGTTGTGATAGTGACAATCAATACGAGAAATCCGTTTCTTCAGTTTTCCAAAGAGCAAATCGGTATACATCAGCAATATATTATAGGAGAAAAGCGTGGATTCTGTAAGCGAAAAGCACCATCCTCGTGCACTAGAATATGCTCACTTCATTTTGCCGAAGATGCGTATGAACAAGGACAGTTTTTAAAACGAATACAGTGCAATGAAGCGTTTTTAATACAATTGAAAAGGGAAGCGTTGCCAAGTAGTAGCTAATACATGCAGTATATAGTGAATATACTATACATACTAGCTTCAATTGCGGTATTAGTCTACAATAGATTGACATAAAAGACACAAAACAGCGCACGCATTATACGCGTGCACCTAATATACAATATTTTACGGCAAGACCCCGTTGAAAATAATAATAATAAATCCAAATGATTATAAGTAAACCACAAACAAAAGGTCCAAAACACATGTAGAGGTCAATTTTTGTTTTTTCTCCTACTTCTGGTTGATATTGGTATGATAACACTTCCCCTACTTGGTTCTCGTGAATATTTTCCATTACAATGACTCAAAGCATTATTTTTTTAGAAAACGTATTAAATCTCGATATACGCTATACAAAAATATGTTGTTGTTTTGATTCTACCCTGCCATTTACGTCATACGGGTCATGTTACCCAAAAGATAATTTTTCGGGAATATACGAGCCAAGATGGCGGACGATATATAAATTAACAGTGAAATAACATGCATATAACTCCTGAACAAAGATGTTTGATACGGTATTAATATCATATTCATAGTAAGATGAAGCAACACTTTTAATATAGACAATAAAAAATTTTGTTGCCATTGTCCTTTAAAAACAAAATCAGACTTTGGCCGCGTCAATACGAAGATGGCTGGGAATTTGGAAACCACAATCACGATGTCTAATTATTATTTTTGCGTTTCCCAAAACGTCACGAAATTCGTAACGAAATTCCAAATAAACAGAATGGCGAAATATAATTTAAAAATACAATGACAGGAGTACGATTAATATATCAAACATCGACTATCAGCCATTTGTTGACCATGTTGACCCACAGTGGCTCGAATTATTAATTATAGGGTTATCTGACTAGTTTAGCTTTCAGTTAATTCAGATAACCTGTGTCATCTCAGTTTATAATTTCAATTATTTATATTTCATCTTTGTAACTTTTATTTTAATGGCGCGAATAAATTATGTTATGTTGGCAAGGATGCGATTACGCATGATCATGTACTATTTAAAACACGAGTATAGGAGTGTTTTATCAGATATAATACGCGAGGCGCGGCCGAGCGTTTTATATCTGATAAAACACGACAACTAGTGTTTTGAATAGCTTGAAATACGACTACAAAAGAATACTAATTAGGATGAACAATTATATAATGCCACATACTTTATCAGATATAAAGTCACTCCACATGACATATTATGGCTGACATGATTTGCCACAAGGTTTATGAATTATTAATCGAATTAACCGATTAATAATTTGGTTCCTGGTTTGGGTGAATAATATCATTGTTTGGCAGCATGTTTTGTATTATACTCATTTACTTCATGCAAATTAACTTACCTACAGCCCAGGCTACTGAGAGGCTCCTCTGTGGCGACAAACTTCACATCTTTATTACGTTGGTTACCATCCTGGAGGTTTGTGAAACGCTGTAATGTACCACGAAAGAGAGGAACATCCAGACGAGAAGCAGTTCCTACACATTTCTTTAGGAATGCTTGCATATTCGAAAATTGAGCATCTCCATCTGAAGATAGTGTAAAAGCCAAGCATACAAGATGCTTTGTTTCTCGATCAATTATTAGTAAGGAATCTAAATCTTCGCTGCTGACCACCGGGATAGCCTTACTTTCGAGCGATTTAAAGATCTCTTGCAGAGGTTTCATTTCCGCCTTCTTCTGGACAAGCCAATTGGAACACGAAACCGAGACTTCTTGAATCTCTTTCATGAAAGCATCGTAATCTTCATTATCCGCTGATATACGTCCGAGTTTTTTCTTAAAGAAAGCCGTTTGTTTTTGCACCATTTTCATAAAAAATGCAAGCTGCCTTTTCAAACTCGGGAAATTGTCTTCTCTCTTAAGGTCTTCACATTCAGTGAAGATAGACTGCAGCTGTTCAATTTCAGCCCGGATCTCTGGCATTTTTTCCCTGAAAAATATTTGTTACGGGTTAAAAAAAGGTCTACTTTTGGTCGTGCCTGAAAAGGGTTTGATAGCGCAGACGTCAAAGCAAGCGCCTTTCGCCTCTGAGACCTTGAATTCTATTATCGCTAGTGTCAAGAGTCAGTCAATGCTCTGTCGAAAGCCGTAGATTTTCTCCCGGCGCTCCGGTGTCCTTCCACAGGGAAAGTTTACAGGGTTAGTTAGGTTTAAACATAGTTAGTAATATCACAATTAATGTTGTAAACATAAATATTCTAGGCTAAGTTGGTAAAATAATTGAGCGTAATGCTTGATATGTAATTGGCCTCTGAAAGCCTCAATGGAGAGTGCGCTGAATAATGTATGTATACAGCTGGTTGCCCCGAGCAAAGCGGAAAAGTCGAATACGAGTGCGAATTAAAGCTTGCTAGGAATCGCTAAAAAAATCATTAACTTTTTAACGATTCCCAGCAAGCCTTTCGCACTTGTATTCGACTTTTCCGCTTTGCTCGGGGACAACCTTAATTGAAATTCCTGTATGTGACAATGTAAAGAGAAAAGGAAAACGCCAGACGAATGGCCTACGCTCGAATATTCGATGTTTTCATGAAGAGAGGCATGGTTGAAATGAAAACAGCTTATTAGCAAATGTTATACAAGTACACGACGGGAAACGTTTATGGAATATTCTTTCTTTTTAAAGTCATTCCTTGGTCATAACAAGGAAAGACTGCAATTTCTCGCAGTATAAACGAGGAATGGAGAATTAGAAATAATAATCATAGAATAGAAAATCTGGAAAATAAAAGAACTAAATCAACGACATTGAAAAAAGTTTTAAATACGGCTTCGGTATCAACCAGTTTGATACTGCATGTCATACTGGATTCAAGATAGCAATTTTAGGGAAGATGACGTTGTATAATGAGCCTAATGTTAAATGTCCTTATTGGGCGTAACGTTTAACGTTGTGTCGAAAGTATAATCTATAAATAAAGCCTTCAATGTTTAAAGACAATCTTGCCAATATCAATATCTTGAACAAGCAAAACGATTTTTTCATATTCCCCCAAGAATTGAAAAATGTTCACTTATAGTGCCAGGAACCAGTGAGCTCTCTATAACTGGAGCATGCAAGAACTTCAGTCATTCGGCAAATGAGAAAAGAGAAGCAAAGATGGCGGAAATGACGTCCAATAACTATGAAGGTTGTAAACAGTTTTGATAGCATTTTTCTCAGTTAAATCCAGTTTTAATTATAAGTTACCAGTTCTTATAACCTCAAATCGATCTCAAAATACGAAGTTTCGCCGCACTCCCAGCTGGCAGACAAAAACAATAGAAAGGGAGTGAAACTGACGTCCAATAGCTCCATCTTTGGCTTCACATTTTGCACTTGAGTTCTCACTCCAGATATACACACGAAAAATCTCACATCTTGAAGCAAGTCAGTCAACTTGTTGTGTTCGCATAGCTTGTCCGAAGTTGTCAACAACTTTGGAAAAAGCATCAACAACTTGTAACAACTTGTTGATACTGCCAAAATTGTTGCAAGGTTGTTGCAATAAGTTCGATACACGCGGATACAGTCATAATATAACAATGTTGTTGCCATCTTGTGTCATCAAACCTTGTAACATTCCTGTTATATATACGATCAGATTGTATAAGAGTGACTTTTTAGAACAACCTTATAGTCTGATGATGCCACCAAGCTTGTTACAAATTGTTAGCAGCTTGTTACAACAACTATATAGGGACAAGCAGTGCGAACACAGCTTGTCAACAGCTTCTAAACAGACTTGTAATAAACTTGTTTGCAGACTTGTAACTTGTTTGCAGACCTGTACAACCACTGTGCATTTTCACGTGTGTATATATGCAGCTCACTGGCAGGAAGAAAGAGTATTCTGGACTCATAATGAACATGCAAAAATAAGATTACTCACTTACTGTCGGTCGAAGCTGCTCATTTCAGAACAAGAATTGAAACACGCCCAAGTGAAAGGATCTATTCTTTTGAGAGAAAAATTGGAAACTATAAAAACAGCTTATATCTTTGAAAAAAAAGAATCATGATTTATTCTTCTGGGCTCCAGATTCCCCCTCAATGATGCAGATAGGCTTGAACCAATATAACCTAAACCTTATTTACACGTCAGGTACAGTTAAGTAATTACAGGGACACGTACAAAAAATAACCAGGATACTGTATTCACACCAGGACACCATGTTATATAACCAGAATATTCACACCAGAACACCTTGTTATAACCAGAATATTCACACAATATTTTTATTACTTTGTAAATATAAATGATTTTGTCTTAGTTTCTAAATTGTTTAGAAACTGTAGGAGTTTGAATTATTTGATGCATATATTCATGGTTATGCCTTGGGATGGTCAGGTGTGTAATTAGTAATTACTAGTAAATTAACTATTATCTGTCATCCAACTGGGCTATGGGAAATGCTGCCACATCTCAATCATGCCAATGAGCTGGCATGGGTAACAAATTGTTTATGTGAAGGATTCGGTCCCTGTAATCTGCAGGCAGATTTAAGGAACGTTTAAAATTAATGCAACATTAGTACATGATTGCATGGGAAAGATGCATGCAGCAGCCTTCAATTTTTAAAACAAAGCAAGGATGTCCGGCATATAACGAAGGGATTATAAATAGTATATCGTATTTCACTCCTAACTTGATATGCAGTAGAACCGTACGTGACACTGCCCCTTTAATATTCCGCTTATATTAATAGTTGGCAAATCATATGGATATGAAGTGACATTAAGGGATAGAGCTTTGTCCGCAAAGTTTGCTTATTATATCTTTAAATTTGTCAAGTATTATGCAATTGGGTGGAACATATGGTGGTCTTCAGTCCATACATAAGTGCGATTGACTGTTAATTAACCCATTAAGCTGCTGAGTGAATGTGCCCAAAAGCACCAAATTTATCAACTTATGGGCGGAGTCTTGTATATTAATGAATTAACTAATTAGCTTGATCTACCAAATGAATGTGCTGACATAATCATTTTTCCCCAGGGCTGACAATTTTACTTGCCAATGAAAGGGGCTTAATTAGGGTTTAATTGGATTAAGGACATTTGGGGTAAGTGTTAGATTCTGCATTCATGTCAATCACCATGATTTGTAATAAACTTCACCAAAATTATGGTAGAAAAATCCCCCACTGATGAAAAAATCCAGCATACGGTTAACTAAGCATTTAGTAGCTCCCTATTCCAGCTCTTTATATTAAATATTATTGGGGCTTCGGTGGCGAAGTGGTTAGCGCTCTCGCCTTTCACCTCTAAGGTCAAAGGTTCAACTCTCAATGAGACTTTCTCAATGTGACTCGAACCCTGAGACCTCATGTGAAAAGAGTAAAAGTCAATGCTCTGCCGAAAGTTGTGGGTTTCCTCCCACATGCAGAAAAAGTTGACAGTGTGGGTTAGGCACATAGGTTAGGGGGCAGACCATTAATGAGGTGTGGGCGAGTAGCGGCCGCTTAAAGTACAATTTGTAAGCTCACAGTCTACCTTGGTCTGCTTCATGCCAGTTCCGGCTCTAATGTAACCAATCACTGAATGAAAAACCCTGATAGGGAGTGTGCTGAGTAATATATGTATATGTATTATTAATTTATTTTGCCTCGATTTATCCCCTGGGTGCGTCGGTTTTGAAACATTTGATTTATTGATTTATTTAGCTTCGCCTGGCCAAAATGTACACAAAACAAGTACAACAATTCATATAAATGAGACAGAACAAGAGGCGGGGACACCACAACAGTTTACACCATGCAATTACTGTGGTATCGCTAGAGGTTCGTCCACGCTCGTAGGGGGGATAATGAGGGATACACGAGGATTCAAGCCGGGAGGCGGCGAGCGGGAAGAACCTCTGGAACACTTCTATGGATTCTCAGATCGAACCGCACCAATCACGATGCTTAATAGTGTGAAGTGATCCGGAATCTGGATCACAGTGTTAATTGGTTAACGGCAGGGACTTGTTAAAACAATGACTTTCATTGGCCGTTTGAACCGTATGTCCTTCAAGATATTATCGTTCAGAATCCGTACAGGCATACGCTGTTGTTTAATATAATATTATTATATTTATAACATAGTCAGGCGTAAATATATATATATGCCTCTAGTTTTGCGAGTCTTGCGAGAGGACTTCAACAACTCGGTCGCGGTTGATTCGATTTTGAATTTTTTTACTGGACTGTGTTTATACAAAACTCAATAAACATCAAGATGATGCCTTGTTTCTGTGTTTCAGTTAATGCATCGCCGTGATATGTTTGCTATATTGCCAAGAGGGAATTTCGTGTCGGTGGCTGTCTAGTAATCAAGCATGTCAAGACAAGATGGGAGTCTTTATAGGCCTATTTATATCGAGGCGAATTACCCGGCAAGTCGAGTTTATACTCGTCAACGACAAGATCCCGGCTATATTATAGAAACTTATACAGTATGGTAAACCCAGGGGACTCAGGACTGGTTACATGCATGTAGTAAAGAGTATAAACTCGCCAGTGAAGAGTTTCCGGCAGAAAGAGGCGAGATATTGCCTTCGGCGAGATGAATCTTTACCATATTAAACAAAAAATGTTCGGGTATTTGTTAACTCGGCCGCCCGAGATCGAATGTATGTGTATAAATGTATGTGCTTTGCATTTGAAATATAATATATTGTTCAAAAATACATACGAATCATTAGATAAGTTCTATTCGCAAATTGCAGAGTAACTCGCCTCCATATAAACAACAGGGCCTTGGACGGCAAATATTCGTTTGTATTATATGATGAACAAGAAATGCTTCAAAGTTCAATCTACCGACCGAGGCGACGATCCTTTTACTGTATATACTAAAATACCCACTGTGAATAACAAATTCACCACAAACTCGACAATACTCGTCTCCGCTTTTTTGTAACACTTTTAGCAGGTGTACGGTCTAATGCCATGTGGCCATATAATATTATTCGGTTTATTTTACTATAAAGACTCGCTAATTTTATTTTTTTGTTTTGAAATTGACACATTCTGTCGCAATTTCCATCGCTCAAATGTTCGGTTGAACACGCCCAAATCATCATCAGTCAAAAATAAATACGTGTCCTATTGGCTAACGTTTGATTGACATGTGACAGTTAAAACAGTAAAAGCCATAGAAGTGTTCCAGAGGTTCTTCCCGCTCGCCGCCTCCCAGCTTGAATCCTCGTGTATCCCTCATTATCCCCCCTACGAGCGTGGACGAACCTCTGGCCCCAAGGTATTACTGTGGGCCCTTTAGTTAAAATTAGTGACAAATTACAGACGAAAAAAAAATCAACCAATTAGTCTAGTAGCAACAGGGATTAATGCCCCACCAGCCGGCATTTGACCCAAATCTTTTGTCAAATCCCTACCCCCCGGGATTAATATTGATAGGGTTCATTACATGCATGTACTGTATTTGTAAATTTAACAAGGAACAGACGTTATTCCTGAAAATACCATTCTAGTCTGTCTAGTAACTTTCACACGAGACACATCATATTAATAAAGAATAAAGATATATTTGGTAATTTGCTTTCATATCATTTGCTAGACTTCTATACACTCGTGTATAAATATAATTAAATTGCGTTTACCGCCTGGTGTATCCAACACTGATGTGTAGTGGGTGAAGTAAACTTGAAAGCTTCGGATTCATCGGGATGCAATTACCTGAAAGATACAAGGAGCGGAACTTCGACGTTTCCAGCGGGAAAATCTTCCTTGTAATGTATTTTTAGGTAGTTGCATCGCTATCAGTTCCAAAGCTTTCTTAATTATTACTGCCACTACCTACACTGCCACCAAGTTTAGGTAAATGTCCCTTTCAAAAGATGTAGTTTCCAAGCAAGAATGTAAACGTACAGATGTCGAAGCAGACAATATCTAATTCTTGTTTACCTTTGCGGAAGTAGTAAATGACGACAATCACTGATTATATTTGTATGAAGAAATGTTCACGACGATTGAAACAGTTCCAGCTTTTTATATTGATTTATTCCAGCATTCCAGTTTCGATCGTACACTTTTATCAAATACAAATAAGAAAATTACGACGACCGAAAAAAATAAATAGCAGCCAACCTTGAAAATGAAACTGCGATCATTGCAATGGGGAATTCCCTGCCCCCTGCAGGCGTTTAGTGCGGGCGGGAGAAGAGAGGGCGTAAATAAAAAAAAAAACAAAAAAAAACACGAAAAAATAAACGCCTGTCCAAATGCCTATAGCCTGCGAATACAGCCGGTCTGATTCACTCGATCCTTCGTCGTGATAAGTCCGTCTGCGAAATGACCCCAAAACTATAAAGCGGCATTAGGGTCAAAATTCATTTTTATAAACAAATGATACACAATGCGCAAAAAGTAGTCGCGTGATACCGTTTACGATGGCAGCACACCGCGTTCACGATAGCAGCACACCGTTCGCAATGGCAGCACACGTAACGTTCGCAATGGTAGCACAACGTTCACAATGGCAGCACACCGTTCACGATAGCAGCACACCGTTCACGATGGTAGCACAACGTTCACAATGGCAGCACACCGTTCACCATGGTAGCACAACGTTCACAATGGCAGCACACCGTTCACGATGGCAACACAACGTTCACGCGATGGCAACACGACGTTCACGATGGCAGCACACCGTTCACGATGGTAGCACAACGTTCACAATGGCAGCACAATGCTCCCAATGCCAGCACAACGTTCACGATGGCAGCACACCGTTCACGATGGTAGCACAACGTTCACAATGGCAGCACAATGCTCCCAATGCCAGCACAACGTTCACGATGGCAGCACACCGTTCACGATGGCAGCACACCTTTCTCCTCCAATTCCGCAGAGACTTCTGATGGCTATGATTACGATTAATATTAAATCAATACGGAATTTCCACTGGCTAGATCAAAAATAAGCGTAGCAGGCGGTATTCGCGGGCACGAGAGAATGGGAAGCTAGAAATACCGCCTGCCCAAAAACTACACATTCTGAGTTCTCCGGCACAGTGGATGCTGGAGCATTCTGATTGGTCAGAATGTTGATTTCGAATTTTTGATTGACAGGAGTATTAAAGATTAGAATAATTAGTGCTAAGGGACCAGTCATAAAGTAAAAGGGAGGTGAGCTGGGGAAAAATAGGGGGGTGGGTCACTATTTTTGAGCACGGTTGAAGGGGTGGGTCATCGAAAGTTAATTGCAATCATAAGGGTGGGCCATGCAAAAATATGCAGAAATTTTTTCAAGGGCATGTGTATTAAAATTCATATTATAAAATTATATAGCGAAATTTCCTGCTGCACAATAATATTTGAATGCGTATTAAACTGTTATGCTCAAAAACAATGGACAATTCAATTAACATCATCACTTAGCGAATAAACTTTACATTGTCATTGGTGTGTTAATTAAATTAAAGCACCTTGCAATTCCATTCACAAATGTAAACATTTTCTCTGAAGTGTTGGTTTTTTATACTTAGCATGTGATTTATAAAAAAACGCACCATTAAAACAGTGTGTTGAAAACCTAGTTTTTTTCAAAATGTGTTCTCAGAATGCTGAAAATGCCATTTCCAGGATTCAAATTTTAAAATTTTCCCGTGCCTTTGGCACGACCCCCCCCCCCCCAAATGTTTCGTAAAGTGTCCTCCACTGTTGCTAATATGATAGTGGCTAACTAATTTTCTGATATTATTGTTAAATGTCACGAGCATTGTACAGGATGTTTAGTATGTAACAAAATTAGTGTAATTTCTATGAGAGCGTAGTTAAATCACAATTATAGCGTTACAGGTTTGGCGTGAGCCGTAAATGTCTCAAATTATGAGAAAGATACTACAGTATGCATCGGAAGTTCCATGCAAAGAAAGACCTTTCTGTATTTAATCGCACCATTTGAATAGCTATTGAGTATTGTAACACAGAATTATTTGGCAACAGAAAAATGGAATGCTGGTATCTTTCGCCTTTCTGAAAGGGTGGGTCACAAATTTTCAGCACCAATTTAAGGGTGGGCTACAAATTTTTGAGCAGCTATTAAGGGGTGGGCTACCAAAATTGCAGACACCAAATTTATATTTTTCCCAGCCCCCCCCCCCTTTTACTTTATGACCGGTCCCTAATTTTAGAAGTTACTGTTGCCGTATTATAAACTATTGTCTGTGCTATTGTCATTTTCGTAATTGATACCGATATATAGAGTGATGTCATACACTAACGAAAAAATAACGAATGTATTACGTAATTGAGATTTAAGCGTTGAATACTTTAATCTTTATCCAGTGGAATCGGTAATCCCATCGTCTTGAAGAATGAACAACGAATATCCATCCAACATTTGTTGCTTGATAGAGATGTTACCGTGATAAAAATGCAGATTTGAAGATACAGGCTCGTAAATGACACTCTAAGTAGTGTTTTTGATAACGATTGGAACAAGACTATTACAAAGAAGTTACGTCCAAAGCGGCCGAAGTTATGTTCGGCGAAAGGTATGGCTAGTCTATATTTTTGTTCAGAGTTTACCTAGATTAAGGAGAATAAGCAGGGGGTCTGGGGTCCTCCCCCAGAAAATTTTCAGATTTTGCATCTCGCAGAACAGGATTTTCAGCATATTCTGAAGCACATTTCCTTGGAAATTGCCGTATTCTTAGGATTTTTTGAAATAAGGCAATTTCCTTCAATCTTCCAAAATTTCCTTAAAATTTCTTTCAGATTCGAATTTCCTTATAATTTCCCTCAACTAGTTAAAATTTCCTTCAAAAGGAGTCCTTTGACTATATTGCCTATATTGAACGATATACTTCATCTACGATGTGTGTAATTGGCAAAATTTAACATTGTGAGTCTGTGACAGTGTGCTGCCATCGTGAACGGTGTGCTGCCATCGTGAACGGTGTGCTGTCATTGTGAACGGTGTGCTACCATGGTGAACGGTGTGCTGCCATTGTGAACGTTGTGCTACCATCGTGAACGGTGTGCTGCTATCGTGAACGGTGTGCTGCCATCGTGAACGTTGTGCTGCCATTGTGACAGTGTGCTGCCATTACGAACGGTGTGCTGCCATCGTGAACGGTGTGCTGCCATCGTGAACGGTATGAGACTACTTTGTGCGCATTGTGTATCATTTGTTTATAAAAATGAATTTTGACCCTAATGCCGCCTTTATACAAAACATTCCATACTGATGACGCCATATGACCTACAACCTCGTTCCCAGTGTCTTTCTTAGAACGGCGCGAGGCGAAGGAAAGACCCTGGTTTCGGCTGGTCACGTGTCACCCAGATTCTGGCTGATAAATTAAAATGATACTATGGGCAGGGTCGGAGAGGAGCGTGTTTGTCGCGTTTGTAACAATATTTGCAATTTTGTGTGATGAAATTTAAATTTGCAACAAGTGAATCGTGAAGAGAACTGCAATTAAAAATTAATATTTATCGTGATGTGACTTTCTGCTCTATAATCTAGTGTCGAGTTACAATTCAAGCAAGTTGGATCAGATTTCAACTTACAAAGAAAGCACGCCTGGGCGGCGTGGCAATATTAAGCCTACAAGAAAATTCATATATCTCTAGACCGACCAATGTGGTTTATATTTATTTAACTGTTAGTATTAAAGTATATCCTGATACTCGGACCAAAAGAATATGTTTATTGATGAGATGTGGAATTGGAACGAAATAGCGAGATCTTTTGATTTCCGACATATCGCCAAAACGCCAACTGTATCGAGATTGTTGATTATAAAGGCCTTATCACAAAACTTAAATCCCGTCAAAAGACTATAAAATTTCCTGCAAGATCTTAACGATCATGGTATATGTCAAAGTCTAGCTGTCTGTTGAAAATCTACGGTAATACAGTAGTTAAAGTCATACATCAAAGATAAGTCAAACGACAATATATTTGTCTTACTGTTTACTACTGTGTTTATACCACCTTTATAAATTTTATTAACAGCTTTCGTTTTGACACAAGCTTTAATTTTCTGCTCTATATATATTCTTAATAATACAAGTGAGATTTAAATTTTTTGCTTTGTGAAATAGAATACCGTTATTTTTTAATGGACAGCTTGTATCGTCTCTATTATCACTATATATGCCACTATCAAATAAATATAGAAATATAATTTTGATGAACTTATTGAACTAGAAATAACAGATGATTGAGACACAATGAAAACTGTTAGTAGCCTTAGTAGAAGTAGAAAACTCGAAAATTTATGTGTATTCGTATGGCAGTCTGTGCGTGTCTGACACTGTAAATTTGTGATGTAGATTATAGCCTAGTTGTGTGCAAATTAGGAAAACATTATCTGACCAAGAAAAAGGCTAAAGCCTTACTATAATTAAGGAATACGAATTATGTACTAAATCCAAAATTTTAAAGATAAATCACTGACAGACATTTCTCTGTTTGGTTAGTACCAAATGTTTACATTTGCTGATATTGGGCTCTCGACTCTCTAGTCCGAGACAATACAATACAATACTGTTTCTTTTAAAAATCTTATAAACAAGACGTGCAAAGCATAGGAACGTTTACAAAAAAGGACAAAAAATCTAATGCGTGTTTTAAAAACATTAGATATGTAGAAATGGTGACCACTGAAAAGCCCATAAACGTTTGTTATAAAACCGCGCTCGAGTGTGAAGAGAGCATTGAATAATTATAACACGAGAAAGCACTGCGAGTAACGATTTGCTTGGTTTCTTGACTTGACTGTTGGTAAAAATGTAAGAATGTTCTTGTAAATTCAATGCAAATAACATAAACAAAAATTAGCAAGTACTTTGAACTTACTGGTAATAGTTCGCAAAATTTATGTTTTTAACTGTTTGTAATTTGATACTTTCACACACCCCCCTCGGGCAATCAATTTTGGACGAGGCACGTGACCAGCTGATACCAGGGTCTTTCCTTAAGACCCTGGGAACGAGGTTGTATGACCTGTTCTGGTCATCGCTTCTGATTGGCTAGTTTATAATTACCGCATAATTTAGTGTGAGAACGATAATTGCTGCCGAAGGCAGCACACTATTCTTAACATGAAGTATCGCGTTTACTTGTGTCCAGTCTCTTTGCCCGCGAGCTATGTATTGTCGGGATCTCGATTTTGTGTCTGTCTGTTTGTATGTAAAGATGTCGTAATTCCGGGGAAATAATTAAGGCTTCAGGAAGATTTTTTAAACGAGGGGGGCGGTCAAACTTTACTTTGTCTATGACTTTGTATTGCACACGGATCAAGTTCTTCGCAAGGACAGTTATGAGCTTATTTTCATGATGCAAACATGGACTATATTTTCAACAATTCAGGTAAGGTAGCTTTATTTCTTTTTGGTAATATACATGAAGGCATTTTATATATATATATATATAATATGTTAAGAACACTATGATTTCATGAATTTAGATTCAGCATGAATTTATCATGCATTTCAGAATTAACCCTGCACTTAGTGATCGTCTTTATAGTTAATATATACAAGTAGTGAAAATCTACTTTTAGTTTATTTGTTTGTGTGGTGGTTTCCAAAGGCTACTAGTTTTAACGCTTTCTGATTGATTCAAATAAAACATCTATAACCAATAAGAGAGCTTTAATACAATCATCAAATCAGGACACAGAGTCAGGACCGGACCTGACCCTAATTCAAACTGATTGGCGCGGCTCGATGAATCAATTGCCGCTTTCAACCAGAGTTTTATTTTAAACCTCTGGAACCAGGGTAAAGGCTTTCACACAAAGTAGGCCGGGTGAAGTGAAATTTTCGTGGGGTCATGGCCAGAAATCACGGACA